GGCGCTCCCAGAGGTTGCGGCCATCGCATGCCAGTGCTGGCCCTGCCCCTATGAAGGAACAAGGTGATGCCCATGTGCCACACAACCTTACAGGGACTCACAGAAACCCGGTCCTTGGATTTAATCCCTGCATTCTGATTACCCTGAGAGCAGCTTTAGATTTTGAGGGTGTAACAGTGGGGGCTACTGCTGGCTCTTCAGGACTGGCTCTTGGATTTCACTTTTTCAAATGCCTGTATTGCATGGAGAGGTTGAAAGGGCTGTGTGGGTCCTGAAATGACCACTCTAATAACACAGAAGCACTCAGTTGTCTCAGCCTGCTTTGCAGGCAGTGCTGCACGCGCTGCCTGAGCAGAGGTGCCAACTGCTTTGCTGCACCAGCAGTGAAGCAATGATTCATATGTCTACAGGGAGCAGAAGAAACAAAGGCTGTACATGTCAAGCTGGAAGATGTGAAGAGACAATGCAACAAAAAATCGGCATGCACAGGCAGAAGGAAACTTCTTCTTGTCCTTATAATACACAGCTTGTGCTGCTGAGACCTGAGGTGTCTTCAGAAGCTGAAGAGCAACCCAGGGATAAGTCTCTGCATCCCTCAGCATATATTTAGAGCTGCAAATATTTTGCAAATGCTTCTGCTGAAAGGGACTTTTCTCCCAGTAGGTAAAATCAGCATCTGCTGAGTGGTGACCATTTAACATTCAACCTGCTGCCAATCTACATTCCACAGAGAGACCTGCAGGAGAGACATGGAGCTGTGCCACTTCTAATAACTGTGTGACTGGCACCATGTCAATGCTTTAATGTAGAAAGCTACCCTCTGTCACTAAGCAGATCTTTCCTTTCTTTTGGCTAATGGATTTCACACCCATTGGCAACAATGTCAAGACTGAAGGGGTATAAGCCTGCAGTCTTCTGAGATCTCCTTGGCAAAGCTGACTACAGAAATATTGAGATAGGGACTGGGGGCTGTAAGGAAAGAAGAAAACTATCGTGGTTAATAATTCTGCTCTCATTACCCATTGCTTTGCCTTTCATCTTTGTTTAGTTTCTTCATCTGTTTGCCATTGTGCCTTCCCACTGCAGCAATGGTCAGGTCAGCAGAACCTGCAGAATTTGCTTGCTGGGAGCATAACTATGCCAAACCTCTGCAGCAATCTGCAGATCCAGGAGAGGGTCCTCATGCTTTTATTAGCCAAGCTTTCAGCATATTTAGGGGGAAATTTATATTGGGACATTAAATGAAAGCGCTCACAGCTCGGGTATTTTTATTTTGACAAGGTTAGAATGGTCCTAACAGTGGAGTATTTTGATGGCTGGCATTTCGTCTACAGGTGCATTTGCACAGATAGGCTTGCAGGAAAGCTGGTGGGCTACACAGGCATGCACACATTCCATGGGGAGTGGAAAGCTGTGAAAGTGCAGCCCGGGACCTGTGTCTCTTGATAAAGAACCACCAGGATGCCTATGCTGATCTCCTCAACACCTCTCTCAGATACAGAGAAATAGGCAGGGAAGGGATGGATGCACGCTAGCTGGCTACTGCTTTGTCTGCACTGCACCTCCAACATGAGGCCCATGCTGATGTAGTTCCCCTTTTTGCTGTAAAATCTGAATAAATGCAGTTAAAAAGAAAACAAGCAGGCAGTGACATGCAGACTTTTTCTGGCTTCTTTTTACTCTATACATGCAATCATTCAAGAGTCAGACAGGAAAACGCAAAGGCCTTGCAAACAAAACCAACTGGCCACCAATCTTAGCAATCTTCAACACATCCGTAATTCCTACTTCATTTTTAGCTAATGGTGGAGATTAGTCTTTGGGCTCAGTTGATAAAAATCAACCTGTCTCTGCTGGGTTAGTACCATGATCTGTGGCACAGCAACCACCTCTAGTACAATTGATTTTCTTTTTTGGCAACCAATAGGCCAGTCAATAATAATGTTGTTTGAGAAGGATTGAGTCATGAGGGAGATGAACCCTCCCTGTCATTTATTATGTTTGTATTGTCTCCATTTGAAAAGATTATTTTTTTTTTTTTCCCCAATGAGGACGTGAAGGTATTATGAGGGGACTGCTACTCCCCATCCCAGGCTCCAGAAGTCCTATGACTCAAAAGCATGCTGGCATGCAGATGGAGAGCTGCTGCCCGCTGGGGCTTTTGGCAGGGGACTAGGAGAAAAGATAGGCTGGGGAAGCAGCCACACTTCTTGTGTTACTCTTAAAGGAAACAAAATAGACTTCAGACAGCTGAGCTGCCTGGTGTGAATTAGTTCAGCACATAGATGCAACATTCACACAGGTATGAGAGAGAGCAACCAGCCCTCACTGCAGACAGTGTGGGATGCTTAATGACTTTCAGTGAAGTTACAGGTGCGGACAAATGAATAAAATAAAACTCACTCCTATTGGCAACAAACTTCCCAACCTGGTGATTTCCAGCTGCGGTTCTCAAGTTTCCTTCCCAAGGCCCTGAGGGCCCAGGGGTGACTGGAAAACTTACTGACAACAGGTGTGAAATCTTCGTACAGTGACCTGTGCCTTTACTGAGGAGCTGAAAGGTCAGCAAACAAAGCAAACAGGTCAGTTAGAACTTGGATCGTGACCAAAGTAGCCAAATTACAGTGCTATTTTCTATATGTAAGTATAATGTTGATAAGCTGATGATGTGAACTGCACAATGATGTGCAGAGACAGCAAGGCTGGGGCAAGTCTCAAGTTTACTGCTTTGGTGTTACAAGATACTACTTGCTGTTCTTCCTCTCAATGGGCAGTTATTAGACTATGATGCCCTTCATCCTTCTGAAAGCACAGGGAACACAGAGGATGCACAGCTGCATGGCAGCACAAAGCTGGGGTGCAATTCTGTGCACCCAGCATCCAATGCCCCCTGCTTTGAAACCTCCTTTCCAAGGCCAGGGCAAATGCTGCAGGAAAAATTGTCACAACTGACGCTTTGACAGTGTAAAAAGGCTTTCCTTTGTCGCTTGACCTTCTGCAAGGGAAACTTATTCATGTCTTCGTATATTTTAAAGCTAGAAATTGATATTACAATCATGCTGTCTGAGCTGCTTTGTAACTACTGCGTTATGAATATGCTCCTCTTCCCCTCCCTTCACCACTCAATTAAAAGCCTACATTTTAAGCAAGCAGAGCTGCAGCAGCAGGAGGCTGTTTTCAGCCTGATCCCTAGCTCTGGGTATTTCCAGCAGGGCTCCAAAACACCGTAACACCACCCACTTGGAAATGGCCTCTGGCTCCAAAGATTTAGGTAATTCAATTGCATACACGTCCCTTTTCAACGTGAAGAGAAGCCTGTTGCCTTTCTGTATCCCTTTGCCCACGGCAATCGGTTACCGCTTGTCAAATGTGCTATTAGAGCTAATTATGAACAATCAGAGAACTCAATGGCTGCAGCTTTTCGGTGACATTAATGAACCGCCCTTCTGAAGCTGCAGTACCACCACTTAAAGCAAAAAACACCGCACTCCCAGAATCGGGGCTGTTTGGAGCATGCTGTGAGAATGAGTGGAGCCAGGCAAGCTCTCCTCCTGCTCCAAGCTGCCTGTTTAACAACGAGGAGTAATAGATCCAGATCCAGAGGTTTCAAGTGCTTCCACAAGGTAAGCATTGCTACGGGTGAACTAAAATAAGGCAGTAAAGAGTGAGCAAGGCATATGTGCAGGCTGGAATAATGGCACTACTGCTTCAAGTCACCAGAGATCCCCATACACCTATCCCATGGTTCTTCATAGCCCACACATTAACTGACAGTGCAATTGGTAATGTGTAATAGCAGACATTGCAGTGTTTATGGCTGCTTAGGAAGCCACGTTTTTTCCCTCTCCCTTTCTTCTTCAGGTTACTCTTCAAAAACTCTTTCTGGTTCTTCTCTGGGTGTGAATTCTCAGAGAGTAAAGGTCAAAATAAAGAAGAAATAAACATTAGGTCATGAAGTCTCAAAATGTTATTGCAACTTACATATGGCTGAGAATAAAAACGCGCCTGCCTTCCCTGGGAACACACCTACGTGCAATGCAGGACCTTTATAAAAATTCTCCTTTATTACTTTGGTGTAAAAAAAAAAAATGTCAAAGATTGATTTTCTTTTTATGGCCACTATTAACCTTTTGTTACTGGCCAAAAATAAACTGGTTAGAAAATGTGCAATGCATAAAGAAAAAAGAATGGAAAGAATTTAACAGAAAATTGAAGTTTGGAGAAAAATAAGACAATTCTCCCCTCAGCCTTCTCTTCTAGGAGTCAGACTTTACCTCCAAAGAAATGAGATAGTTATCCAAAAAATGAATTCCCTGTGTGCTGATACAGTACAGCATTTCAAACAGAACCACTTCCCAGGCTGTCAGGTTAAGGGGGACGGGCAGGTGGTGGGCCCCACCTCCATCTCATTTCAAAGGGAAGCTCTCCCCAGATGCATCTGATGCACTGCCTGCTAGCTCGCTGGAAGGCTGGCTCTGGGCTGACAATGGGGCATGCCATGCCACTAGTGTGGTGAAGGTCCACTTTGTACAAATTCCCACAGCACCTTCTGCAAGGCTGATGAAGCCATCTCGCTGCAAAGAGCTTGCAAAGTTGTCAAAAGGAGAGCATCTCTGTCCAAACTGGGCAGGAGAACAAAGCCTATAAAAGCCACGCTGGTAAAGAGCAGTCAATCACCATCTGACAGAAATATGTTGAACGATTATTTCCGAACACAATCACAATTACACAGGGCAGCCCTTCATTACAGCCAGCTGACAAAACTAGGAGCGTTGAGTTGTGAGTGCGGGGAGCTTCCAGCTTGCTGGCCAGAAGGAACCACTTGTTGAGCTGCAGCTGAACCAGGGCAGCTCCCAGCCTGGTGCATTACGCTGCTGCCCCTTCAGCTCAGACACTTTTGAGCATTCTCCTGTGTAATGCTGTGAAAGAAATTGCTCTGGAGTTGGTCAGGAGGCCACAGAACAAACAGCACACAAGTTCTGTTTTCATTCCTTTCTTACCTGGCTGTTAATGTCGGCAGCGTGCTGTAACAGTGCTGAAACGAGCTCCTTGTGTCCTCTGTCGCATGCCCAGTGGAGCAGAGCCCTGCCCTGCAACATCCAAGAGCATCAAAGCTAGTCAAAAAACAGCTTGGAGAATTGTAGTTATGCTATGAATTACTGAGTACTAATAGCAGATATACACTAATATCGGTACATAGCATCCTAGTGCTCCGGATCTGGACTTACAGCAGCCCACGCCTGCCTATAAATCTCTTGATGCAGCAGTGGTGAACAAGGTGAGCAACTCATTTATCCACTAATGGGGACTGTGAGCCAATTTCCCAACCGTGGTGCCAGACCTGCAGGTGGGGCAGAAGATACCTGCAGCAGAAGCTCACCCTTCTCCTGCTGGGCATACTTCAGCAGGGTGGCACAGACAGACGTTATTTGGAAGGAGGATAAGCAGATACAAAGCATTGAGCTTTTTAACAGACTTTTTGACCCAGTGAGTAATTAATTTTTGTAACACATAATTTTAACGTTACACTAATTAACCTTGAATTAGAATGTATTCTCTGACAATGACTTTCTGTGGAAGCACCGATGACATCGGTGGGCCATTTAATGATTTATGTTCTTGCACTCAGCACCACAATCAACATCTAAGAGAGGAAAGAGTGCCATTTACACACGATTCTGTAAACATGGGAAGATCTTTAATTCATCTTTAGCATCCCTAGCTCAACTCTAGCCTGGTAATTACTTAAGAATGAGGATTTCAGTTGGGCAAGCAATGCCAACTTCCTTGTGCCTGGTTTCTATTTCAGAAGAATCACTTTATCTGCAATATGCACAATAGCAATAAGTGCTCCAACTGATTATCCCTGTTTCTCTACACATGCAGTATAGAGACAATATTCTAATTACACAATTCCAATTTTTGTGTCATTGTAGTGCAAAATAAAGGCATTCCTATCCTGTCCATAAGTAACATGTTACAAATGGCTGCAACGTTTTGGTTTGCACTTGTCTCTGGTCAAGCAGAACCTTATTTTACTGATGCTCAGCTTGGTGGAGTCCAATGAAGGGAACCCAGTGGTTGAGGAAGAACTGTGCTGCCCATTGTGTGAGCGTGGTGATACTGCAGCATGGTGCAACCAGTCCCTCCCTGCAGTGCTGCTTCTGCTGTAAACGTTGCCTTTTGGACAAGACAAGAAACTGAAGCCTGATCATCTCCAGTCATTAAAAATCTCCTCGCGCTATTTGCAGGAGTATGGATTTCAAGTCTTGGGCCAATTCCATTTTGGGTAATTACACTCTGCTTACCTATATATTTTCTCTGCAATTCTAAATGGATACAATATTTTCCAATTAGTGCCTTAAATGGTTCTGCATTGTAATCGTGCACTATTAAAAAGCTGACACGTTCCACACAAGAAATGGCTGCATCCTTGCATCATCTTATCCACCCTATAAGCACAGGGTGGCAGGGACCCTCTCTGCGAGAGCACACCATCTGATGTGGAAGTAAGAAGAAGAATCTCAATGTACTTACCATATAACAAAAAGCATCACTAAGAAAAGTTTAAAACAATCATGGAGTCACAGAATGGCCTGGGTTGAAAAGGACCACAGTGCTCATTCAGTTCCAACCCCCTGCTATGTGCAGGGTCACCAACCACCAGACCAGGCTGCCCAGAGCCACATCCAGCTCACAACTGTTTGCACTGAAGCAGGCAAACTAAAATCTTCTGGAGCCCTAGTTGTATGTATTTAGAACAGCTAGACAGCTACAAAGTCTACCTGTTTCCCAGGTCCTCCTTAAAAAACTAATAACAATTCAGTGATAAACCAACTGAACACAGTCTACAACTCTCTGTGCAGCTTGGCTATCACCTATACAGGTTGAAAACAGCCTGCACAGCTGTTACTTCACATCAACATGTGTCTGCATCTTTAAATAACACAGCAGAAGCATTAAGAGCCACAGATTGAGCCGTCCCAAAGCACTTCCCGTATGACTATTTCATTAGGCAGTGAAAGACTCAGACCAAGGCGAATAATTTTGCATGGGAAAGCACTGCATCAGTAGCCTTGCCCAGTGCAATCAGACAGCAGGGTACTCGTTCTGTGCAATTCAAACACACAACAGTTGTTGCAGAAGTTGCTTGAGAAGATGCATTTCCCCTGCCTCTGAAGTATTTAATAAAAACAGCATAAAAATAGCCCCAGTGCACTAACCCTGCCTCTTAAATCTTCCGTGCTTTGCTTGGGTAACCGCTGCCAGCTTGGCCGGCTTCTGCAGCAGTTTCTCAAGCCAACAGCATATCAATTTGCTCAGCTCCAAGTCACAGTGTGTTCACAAACAAAGCACAGGACGGGGATTTGTCTCAGCTAGACCGAATCTCAGCAGACAAACGGATGGGAATGAATTTCACATCAATTAGCCAGTGCAGAGAAAGAGGAGAACAAAGCCAACCTCAATGGAAACGCCACAGTATCAAGCTCTACTTCTAGGGACAATGCTTGCAGCTTAAAGGATGCACACCAATGACAGACAAGCTAACCCGTAGCAAGAGTTTTATTGGGATGCCCCATCCCTGCAGGCATTCAAGGCCAGGCTGGATGTGGCTCTGGGCAGCCTGATCTGGTGGTTGGTGACCCTCACATAGCAGGGGTTTGAAACTCAACGATCATCGTGGTCCTTTTCAACCCAGACCATTCTATGATTCTATGTTTGTTTATTGGGGCACTTCCAACAGTTACAACAAAATCTCCATCTACAATCTCCATGGACTTTGGCACAGATGATGGAAGCAACCCACCTATGTCTCTGAACAACTTCTGGTTAGTTAACAGCTGAAGAAATACTGCTCTCACAAAGGCAGCAAACAATCCACGCCACCAGAGCGTGCCTGACGCCCTGCAGTGACTTCCCAGCCACAGTCCTTCCCTTATTCCATTAGTCCTGCTGACACACGCAAGAGAAACTGGTTGTTTTAGCCTGCACTATTACTCCTAAGTGAATGCAAGCTATTCTGTTGAACTCTGGGCAATTTAGATACAGTAAATGGAAGCTTGTACATGATTACTGTCATTAGATTCTTTGCTTAATTCTAAATTGAAGTTTATTATATCCGTACTGTTAGCAGGTATGCTGGCTTGACTGCCGTACACAAAGATTTTCATTTCTTTCTTTACTCTAGGGGAGGAGGCAGCCCATGCTTCAGAAGTTGCCAAGGGCATCCCTGCCTGAATCCTACAGACTTCTACTGCTCCTTCTGAAATCCTTTTGCTTCTAAGTCAGCGTGCCCTCGTTTTACATTTTTATTCTCATTTTCTCCCTTTGCTAACTAGATACAGTACGAATACATCACTTGGTGATAAAACCAAAGCACCATACCACTGCAGGCAGGCCATTCCTGCTGCGGAAGCGGCTGTGCTGAGAGCCTTTACAGCACGAGGCTGCTTGGTGCTCCAGCAGATTTTGTTCCATAACAAGTTAACTCTTTGTATGGATCCGTGCTGCCACTTTATATTTATGTGCGTTTAAATCAAAAGATCGACAGAGTGAGTTACGTTCAGAGGGCTGGGAAAGGCATCTTCTGGATATGGCAGGATGTATTTACACTGTAACACTAAAACACTTAATAAAAATGACAAGATGATGCTTGCATACCCTTCACTCTACCAGAGGCTTGCTCTGGATTATCTCCTTCCTAAAATGGGTTCTAAAACTTGAATCAATTTGCACGATACTGGAAAATGAGCAGCTCTCCAGACTTTGAAGAACGCATTTGGTTACTAAACAGCTCTGGCAACAGTTTCAGTCCCTCAAAACAGCATCAAACAAACATTTCTTTCAGATTTCTTATTTCTCTAATTCATTTATTTATTTAACCAATTTAAATCAAGCCTAATGAAGGGGCTCCTACCTCTTTGAGCACTTGCTGGGGTAAGCAAAAATACACCTAAGGGGGAATTCTGCACCAGCAGGTATCTTTCCATCCACTTTTCATAGGCAGCCAGGGGTGCAGAAGTGTCAGGCGTTTGCTGCAGCAGCTCCATGCTCTGCAAGTGCCTGCTGGTTCTGAAACAGGCCCTATCACACTTTGGACTCATGGGCATATTTCTCAAAGACGAGAACTCTTTGGGAGTCACTCTACACTTTTCAGATCTGTCTCCAAATCTTACATGGAGAGAACAAAAACATTTCAGCCATCGTTCACATTTATTTTTTTAACCAATTTCCTTGGCTGAAGGCATGCACATTCATTGCTTGGATGCAAAAGAAGGAACCAGCTTTTGAACATCGGGAAGAATGAAAACATCTCATCAATGGAAATGAAGCAAAGATCACATGATGTTATTATGCACTGATCACAAGTGTGTGATCTCAAAAATGGGATTTTATTAATGAAAGGATTCTGGCCATGTTAGGAATGACTGCCCTGGGCACTCACTTCTGCAACCTGTGGCTGACAGAAGGGCAAACGGAGCTCAGCAACAGCCCTGTTGCAGTGACTGCATGGCATATGACAGTTTCAGCTCATTGAATTTACAATGCGAAATTCCAGCTCTGATCGTGAACACCTTCCTTCTCATCTGAAAATTAATTCACACGAATTCCTGATTAATAATAAAAGGCCCTGCCATCAGCATTCAGAGCCCCAGCCGGGGCTGTCATGGCTCAGAGGGCAGAAATCTGCTTAGAGCTACCGGAGAACCCAACTGAATTTGTGGCGTCTCAGTCTATGAATGTGTAAGCACTTCATCTGTTCACCAAAACACAATGTGCTGGAAAGCAGCAGGCAGAAGTAGCTGTACGTACTGTTGACCAGGAGCAGGGCTAGGTGGCAGTATGCAAGCACTGAAACCAGAGCAATAAAGCTGGTACTGCTACATTTGCTGAATGCAGAACTGTCCACTCCAGGTGTGTTCTTTTACCAAGAAAATCATCAGGCCATTCACATTTTATGTATTTGTCTTTTCCTTGAGGTTTCTGGCAATACCTCTATTATCTCCCTGTGAGAAAAAGGTGTTTCGATTCTGAAAAAGAGTGTATGATGCCCCTAGAAAGGGGGGTTTTCAGCAGATCAATCTGCAAGTTGCAGCTGTTGTTGCTGAAAATAACAGGAAGTTTCTGACATACTACAAAACCACAGTACATCCATGCTGCTAAAAATCCAGTGGAAAGTTGCTCTTTCCAAACAGATTATACTCATCTCCATGATCAAGTGCTTGTCCAACTCTTGCAGTACCTTCTAACAAGTCTAACAGGGGAATTCTGGGAAGGTTTAATACTGAGTTAATAAACTAAACAATTAAAAGACTGATTTTTTGTATCTTTTTATCCATACCTCCTCATCTGCAACATTCACATCCACTTTTTTCGATTGAATGGCTTTGGTTACGTAGTCAATGTTGTTTTCTCTGCAGTAATCAAAAATGTTCTTGTCCTCTTCCCTATCCAGGAAACAAAAGCAAAAGAAACACATTACTGCACTGCACAAAGGCCACGTGCACATCTTATGCTCTAACTTTGCTACAAACATTTCAATAGCATCGCTGGAGTGGAACTGGCTTCTGGTATGATGCATGCAGAAGAATATGTTTTTTCCCCATGTAAGAGTCAGAAATTCCTGCTTCCTAGAAAACCAAGGTTGTTTTTAACAACACTGTATCAGGGCAGAAGTCTTAAACCTGTGAATTGTCACAAGAAGCTTATACAGTTACCCAACACAAAACCTGCTCAGTCCTGGTATGTATCACTGCAGTCTGCCAGAGGATAAAGGGCTAAAGCTCTGCTTCTCCCTGCTCCGCAAACAAACTTGTAACTACTACTGCTTGGAGTCACTTTTCAGTGCCACACATCTCTGACAGTGGTCACTAACACAGGTTTGGAGAGAAGAGCAGAAGAAATAGGATTAAGTGCAAAGCTGAGGATCTAATCTTGGTTAGACCCTCAGCTTCTGAAACTTGGTGGCTTAAGGATTTCTGTAGCCATATCCAGACGAAGATATTTCTCAGATTTTTCCAGACCCTTTTTCAAACACTTTTTTACTTTTTGACCCGTTCATGCTCTCAGCCTTGTTAAAGGAAAGTTCTACAGCTCCATACTGTGGGCATGAAGGGATGAACAGATACTTTCTTTTGGTGTTTTTAAAACAGATGTCTGGTATTATTGGGTACTCCTTGGTAATCTGTGTTTATTCACGTACTTCACACCACCTGCAGACCTCTCATATGACCACACAAGTCACACTCTCTCCAGATGCTCCTTTCAAACTATGCTGTTGTTTCCTCGGATAGCAACTCCTACTTTCGCTGACAATTCCATTTCACCCTCTTCTTCAGTCTCTCTCCTTCCTTTTTGAGATGGGTTGACCTGAATTAGATATGCAGGTGCACAGATTTGTACGGTGGGGTAAAAAAGTCTTCATTCAGATCTCCATCCTTTTCCTAAAGGTTCTGAGCATTTGCTTTACTAATTACCAAGAAGCGCTGCAGATCCAACAACTGATATGAAGGTCCTTCATGCTTTAAGAATCTGTACTAAGGTCTTAAATTCATTAGAAGGTGTTTGCTTCGCTAATAACAACACAAGGTTTAGTATGTCTGAAGCCAGAATACTGCTTTTAGCTCCAGAAGAAGCTATTGGAGCATATGGTAACTGTTGAGACACAGCTTGAACCACTGATTGAGCACCTGGGGAAAGGACCCAGACAGCCTTGGGAGCACAGGTGAAGGCAATTCAGATGTGTGACCAGAAGGAATGGAGCCTGTCTGCAACTCTCTTAGACCTCATTTAAGAGCTGACTGCCAGTGGGGAAAGATTTATTTCTGGAGATTCCTCCTTTGCAGATTTTCCCTTGCAAGCCTAGATCTTCAGAGATAGGTAAGCATTTTTTATTTGCAGCACCTTTCTATCACTCCAATGCCTTTGTCACTGGACCTCCTGTACCACTATTCCATCACATTGGTCTTTCTGATTGTTACTTGGTGCAACTCAAGCACCTGCCACATCCCAACTTGTGGGTCTTTCTGCCAGCAAGTGTGGCTAAGGGAGCATGTGTTTGCATCCTGAAACAGGTGTATGTTGGTCCCTTGCATATCCTAGCCTGCTGCTCTGAGCAAGGCTATGGTCAAGCTTTGTTGTAACACCATCGCTGTAAAAAGGACTGCAACAAGGCTTGCTTGTGGGATGGTACATAAATATAAACAACTAAAGCATGACAATAATGTCTTTAAGTACTGGTACACCCACACAGCTGTGTTCCCACTGAGGAGTAAAGAAAACAGATCACTGCTTTGTTAGAAGTAAGCAAAAAGTCCATGTTTCCCCTCCCCTTCCCTGTTTCTAAATGAAAACTATAGCTCCAATGAACTAGTCAGTATTGTCATGGGATTTGGCATCTTCCAAACAGTTAATAATACAAAGTTAGCCTCTCCTGTGACACCCCCAGTTCACAGTCACCTGTGGGCTTAAGACAATCTGGATGTTGAGCAGAACTCAGACCTGGCAGCGTCCAAGGAAGTTCCTTACAAAAGCAGCAGCCTGCTGCACCAGGTCAGACCCACTGGAGAGGCCACAATGCTCTGGGCCATTCTCCTTCACATCCCTGGGGGCGTTCAGGCTGGATGTGGTTCTGGGCAGCCTGGTCTAGTGTTTGGTGACCTTACACGTAGCAGGGGGTTGAAACTAGATCATCGTTGCGGTCCTTTTCAATCCAGGCCATTCTATAATCTCCCTTACTCTCTGCACACAAGGAGTCCTCTGGCATACCTGAGCTGCACCTTTCCAGGAGAGATCACACATTTCATGTGCAGGCTCAGGGACACTACAGAAGCCTGCCAGTTCCTTAACTGCACTCTCAAGGACTCGTTCATTGGGGGCCTTGCCTGTATGCTACACAGGCTCCTGGGGAACAAATCACTGCATGCTTTAAATGCAATTGCTTTGAATTCTGGAGGGAAAAAAAAGGATCTCATGGTGGGATTAGAAAAGGCTTATGCTGCTCAAGATGGAGATCGACAGCTTCATGAAGGAGGTTATGAGGCACGCCTGCCCCTGCTAACAACGGCTGAGTTGACAAGCAGATGTTCCTCCTGCCTTGCCAGTCTAACCTCTCACACACACTCTTGGCTGCTGAAAGCCCTGCTGGGCCTCACATGGCACAGCTGAAGGCACCAGCAGGAAGGCAAACAGCAGCAGTGAAGCAACTGCTCGCTCCCTGTGCTCCACAGGAACCTGTCTGCAGCAGCACAGCAGGAGGGAACATTCCTAACACTGACGGAGCAGCAGTGGGCCACCATTCCACCACAGCCTCCAGGCCAACTCTTAGTCTCCTCTGAGCATACCAGTATTATCTGTAAGGGAGAAAAATGGACACAGCTATCTGGATATGATTTAGCTTTTCTGGACTCACCACCTCTGTGAATAGTCTATGTATTCCCCTTCCAAAAAACCACTTTTCTATCTCCACAATGGAATTATTCCAGGATAGCAATCTCCCTAAACAGAGATAAAGTTTTGGGAAATTTCACCTTTCTACAATGCATTTATTTGTCAGGGTCTAAACCTGCTGGCTCCTGTTTTTGAATTAAAACAAGAATTGTTAGCATATATTCTCTCCATTTTACAGAAACCAACGAAGAGAAGTGAGTTTTTTTTACAAACAGATATGAAGGAAGTCCATACAGTCCTAATGAAGATATTTTATTGCAAACAAAACGATGTCTGCGCTTCAGACATTCAAAACAATTTGTTCTTGCCAAGTGCCAAAACCAGGAAGGTAACTAGAGAGAAAAAAGCTCACAAAAATAGTATAAACTTGGCTCTTTTTTTCTTCTTTTAGAGACAGAGAAGAAATAAGAAACATAGCACAAAAGCACATGAAGATTTTTCATCTGTTTCACACGTGTTTACGTGTACATGCAAAACAACCCCTCCACCAGCAGTTACAAGGAAACAAAGTGGATGCACGGTTTGTAGACCAGTGGGTACGTGCACTCCACCTATAAAGCTGCTAAAAGTCAGCAGCAAGGCCTAGAAGACAAAATAACCTAAAAACACAGGCAGAAGCACATCAGGAATACAACAGATGTCATATCATAACATTATTTGACTCATATTACAGGGGAAAAGATTCTAGCGTTTCTAGTGATTTAAAGAATAAATTTTTTATGCATTATGAAAAATACAGCCTTTAGGATACCTCGAGTTGGGAAAGAGCAGGAAACTCAAACTACTGGGAAAGTGCACAGTTACTTACAATGGTAGCTAAAAGAAAGATTGAGATAAGTTTGTTTCAGTGTCAGACTACATACAAGCCTTGTCTCTTCTCATTGAGGAGTCTCCAAATCCATGACCACCTGATATCTCCAAGGAACAGGTTCCCATCTATTTCTTGCAGATGGCTGGAAGGGCTTCTCTTCCCTCCCCAACACATTCTACCTCTCCAACTGCCTTCTGCTCTCCCCATTCTGGTAGGAGATGCTAACCCCCATTCAAAGTCATAGAATCCTTAGAGTTGGAAAGGACCTTTTAAAGGTCATCTCTCAAATCAACTTGAACCACACCTATTGTCAAAAGGCAAAACAAGGGCAGTTCCTTCCACACTGGAAGATGATGCAGGAAAGCTTACACCAAGCCATCTCCTTTTCCCAAGCCTGGGAGACTTCCAAAGCCTTTTCCCCAAGCTATATGAAAAACAGAGGGGTCAAGCCAATGGGTTTTAAATAGCTCACAGGGAAGATCTACTGTTGCTTAACCAGTCTTTGCTTCCTCCCTACCTGGGGCACAGTAAATCCACCTAAGCTCAGTTCCCAACTGGTGCCGGCCCCGCTACCTTTCACCCTCACAGATTACCTCTGGTCCAAGGTCTTGAGGGATCCACCCAGTGCTTCCTTGGGCTTCTTCTGCCCCTTCCCATCTCCATGTCCCAAAAGATGCTCAGTGACGGCTGCCTGGCCCCGGTGCTGCACACAGGTGGCATGGCCAGGCAATGGGAGCCCACCGGAGCGGAGCAGCAGCGTGCGGGGAGCAGAGAGGCACTCGCAGCACTCAGTGTTTGTGTCAAGGCCCTCAGCCCCCACGGGACCCATTTTCACATAATCTATAATTATCTCTTCGCTTTAATCGCCTCGTCACTTCTGAGGCTCTCTTGGGCGCAGGAAGAGGAAAAGCTCATTAACTGAACCTTTTCTCCTCTCTCCAGCCACCCATAGCTTTTAATTGCTTGGTGTTGTTATTATCTAGCAGTGCAACTGGGATCATTTTCATAAGAAAGGGTGGTGGGAGGGGGGGAGGCAGGAGTGGGTCCCTGAGGTATGCACTGCAGACAAACCTTTGCTTTCTCAATTATTTATGCCAGCTGAGGTTTTACAAGCTGAATAAATCCATAACTCAAGTTTATTTGGAACCGGCAGGCTGTCCCGGGGGGAGTGTTGCCCACTTGCCTGTA